GCGCCGTCGGTGAAGGGCCGGTTCAGCATGGCCAGGGACAACGGGCAGAGCTCGGTGACGCTGCAGATGAACAACCTCAGGGACGAGGATTCCGCCACCTATTTCTGTGCCAAACATTTCAGTGCTGGTGCTTTTGGTTGGGGTTATGCTGATGCCATCGACCCCCTTTGTGGGGTCCCCAAACCTCCCCAGACCCTCCCCCCAAACTTCCACCCCTCGTACTCAAATCTGAACCAATGATGCCAAACGTCAAACATTGAACCCAAATCGTGACCATTGATCCGAAATCTCAACTGTTGACCCCAACCTTTACCTTTTGCAGAGTTTAGGGTCAAGGGTTAAGATTTTGGATCAGTGGTCAATATTTGGGGTCATTGGTTGTGATTTGGGGTCAGAGGTTCAAATTTTGGGTCAATAGTTAAGATTTGGGATCAGTGATTGATATTTGGGACAAAGAGTTGGGGTTTGGGGTCAAAGGCAGAGATTTTTGGGCCAAACCAGCCCAAGGTTGGGATCAATGAGCCAGAGCTGGGTATGAAGGGGCTGAGCTTTGGGGGGAGGGTCTGGGGAGGTTTGGGGACCCCACAAAGGGGGTCGATGGCATCAGCATAACCCCACCAACCAGCAACACCAGCTTTGGCGCAGAAATAGGTGGCGGAATCCTCGTCCCTGAGGTTGTTCATCTGCAGCGTCACCGAGCTCTGCCCGTTGTCCCTGGCGATGGTGAATCGACCCTTCACCGACGGCGCATAGTGGGTGCTACCACTTTTGCCGATCCCAGCGACCCATTCCAGCCCCTTCCCAGGGCTCTGGCGCACCCAGTTCATGTCGTGGTTGCCGAATGTGAAACCGGAGGGGCGGCAGAGGAGCCACAGGGGCTGAACGGGGCAGAGATTGGGGTCAATGGTTGAGATTTGGGTCAACAATCATGATACGGGTCAATGGTTGAGATTTGGGGTCAATGGTTGAGATTTGGGGTCAATGGTTGGGATTTGGGGTCAATGGCCGACATTTGGGGTCAATGGTTGAGATTTGGGTCAATGACTGATCTTTGGGGTCAAGGGTTGAGATTTGGGACAAAGAGTTGGGGTTTGGGGCCAAAGGTGGGGAATTTGGGGCCAAACCAGGCCCAGGGTTGGGACCAACGACCACCTTGGGCAACCACACCATGTACTGGGTGCGCCAGAGCCCCGGGAAGGGGCTGGAATGGGTCGCTGGGATCAGCAGCCCTAGTGGTTCCAGCAAATACTACGCGCCGTCGGTGAAGGGCCGGTTCAGCATGGCCAGGGACAACGGGCAGAGCTCGGTGACGCTGCAGATGAACAACCTCAGGGACGAGGATTCCGCCACCTATTTCTGTGCCAGGGGTTTTGCTGCTGATGCTGCTGATAATGATGGTGGTTTTTCTGACCCCCTTTTGTGGGGTCCCCAAACCTC